GTTAGTTTTCAGACTTATATATAAACTATTACATGTACAATAGTCCATTTTCCTGAAAATTAATTGTTCCCATGAGGCGACGATGTCTTTACACGAACTGTTAGTGTTGGAGAATATCGTTTGAACAAAAAACAAACCGATTTTGCATTTTGTATGTCTGATGATTCCATTGTTAAGTTCTTTCCTAGGAAAACGAGACTTCTAGGACTTCTTACTGGTATATACGATATGTATCCTTGATATATGTCTTAACTCACAAAGACATTCGATCGATATAGCATCATGACATCACATAACAGGATTGGCCAAGGTTTACACGTCAAGTGTCGCCGATGAAGCAGAAGATACTTACTCTTCTGAAACACATGGTCTCATTTTCCTTTTCTTCTCTCTTTTGTTCATAACTTTGCCCTAGTTTTATTGAATCTGATTATGATCCTGTTGACATATTGGTATTTTCTTTATTTTTTTCTTACTTTGATTGTGATAATCAAATGTGACGGACAAACACTACACGTACCAAACCATTTTATGACGAATTAATTTAAAACCAAAAACCAATAAGGAATATCAAAAAACCTAATATTTCATTATAAGGTTAACAAGATAAGCGAAATTTGACAATTTGAAAAACTTTCCAAAGTGAAAAATGTAATTACATTATTTCGGGTGAGTTTGAAGATAGGCGAGTTTCATTTTTGTAGAATTTTCATAGATGTGATCAATTTTTAGTTGCTTTTCCAGCTAAATAGACCGGCAAAACAGCTTTTCGGTCAACCCAAATTTTGCCCGCTTCTGGTTTTCCAGGACCACCACAATTGTGATGTTTCCCACGATTGTTTTAAAGAACTAACACTTCTTTATAAGATGAGGAATTATATTTTCAAAAATAAGTCCAAAGCAAATTCCTTATTTCGTCTTTGACTATTTATGGTTGAAATTTTTTCGATTCAATTTCTAAAACTATAAAATTAAGGAATTCAAAGTAATTGAAATACCTGTTGTTTCTCACAAAACAGAGGAAACAATAGCACAGATTTTACAAAACATATATCAATAGTTTCACACCTTTATGGTGTTTTGTTGGTAATACATATTTTTAGCATGGACAACAAATTAATATTTGACTGAAGTATAAAAAAAGGAATGTCTGGAAATAAGAGCGTGGGTGATCCACCTCACAGGTGTCGTAAAACACCGTGTTTCATAGGGCATCCAGAACTATGATTATGCAGTCGATGCTTGCATATCGGCCATAAACCCGGCAGTAAGATGTTTGCTATTTTGAGTTTGTGATAGCATGTAGTCTTAGGAGAGTCGAGGTTGGTTGATGTTCAGGTTCTTCCAGTCTTACATAACATTACATTCCATATCATGGCAGTCCATATACAAAGTCTTGCATTTTTTCAAGTTTGGGCCCGGGTTAAAGGTCATTAAAACGTAAGGCTTTGTGTACTTTTAAGCGCATTTTTCTCGCCTTTCTGACACATAGGCCGCGGCTGTCGACAAGGAGATCCGATTTCACCCTATTTATTCTTCCTATGTGTTGAGATTATCGGAATTCTGATAAAAGCCAAGAAGAAACTTGACATTCTCGACCAATTTTCAAAATATTCATGGCTAACACCTAATTTTGATGGGGTTGGAAAACAATACCAAGTTAAGCATTTTGGAGAGTGCAACTTGGAATGGACAGATGAACCTTTCTCAGTTTTGGGTATGCGTTTTCATCTTAATTTAGATGACATCACAGAGATAAATTTCAAAACCAAACTTAATGACATTAACAACATTCTAAAACTTTTGTGCAAGAGAAGATTAACTGTTATTGGTAGGTAAAATAACAGTTGTTACGTCCTAAATGACTCACACTTATATGACTTTACCTAGGCCAAATGATAAAGTAGTTGGAGAGCATTTTCGATCAACTAAATTTTTCAAGATTTTAAAACTGGTGGATGCAGAAAGACCAATCATTTGTCCTTTAATAAAGCACTAAAAATGACGTGGATGCGAAGAATTATAAGCACAGACGCTAGTTTGAAATCAATATTAGCAGATATAATTAATATGACAACCAACAAGTCAATGGTATTCGGTGACAACTATTATGTAGAGTTATCTAGAAGACACAAAATCCCTTTTTCCCGTAGTTTTTAGAACATTAGCAGAATATATTTGAAAAATCGATGCTCAAACATTAGGCTTGCAATCGAATCGCCCTGTCTTGTGCGGTCGTTACACGCGGGCGTGTATAGAGACGGTTAATTGTAAACGGGACCATGCGACAATAGTTTGGCTATGACCATCCATCATCATCGCAATTAATCCATCCCTCGGAATTTGAGTGGTATCAATGACGAAATCAAAATGCCAACGTGGAAAATTAATGTGGCTGAACTTCAATCATTTGAAAAAAAAGTCGACTTGGCTTAATCACGCCGCGTGATTTGGACTAAAGAATAAAGAAGCACAAAGTCAAACAATAATTTAAGGGTAGATTTTCGAGAAGGGAGATAATTCTTGATGAAATACCCGCACAAGTATTCCGTTACAGCTAAGGTGTACTGCAAGGTGGAACTTTATGCGTTTCTTTTTTTGTTGCGTATACATTGGTTTATGGTTTGAGAACTGCTGTCATGTCTATAAGTCTATAAGGCATTCCTATACTCACAATATTGGGGAACCCTTTTCAGCATTTTATACCTATCACATTTGAAATGATAAATAAAAAGAAAAGGGACTATAGACAATTGTATGATATTTGTCTTTCAAATATTAGCTTACAATCAAATATCTTGATAAATGGTCAAAATACTTAATGTTGTTACTGTCTCGGACTGTTTCAAAATGTTTTGTTTTACACAACAAAAGATCTTACACTAAGGTGGTTCATGTACAAAATTACACATGCGATACTGACAACCAATAGTTGTTTGACAGATAATACCACTATACTTTTTGTAACCAGAGAGAGGAAACTGTTTTACATAATTCTATATAAATGTGGACGTGCTGAAAGATTATGGAACTTAATTGAGAACTGGATATTTTTTATGCATTTGTATCTATTAACTTTACGCAACAAGATACTTTCTTTGTTAAATATGGTAAACAAATTCAAGGGCAAAATCTAATTATGTTGCTTGTAAAACATTACAATTACAAACAGTGTGTGAAAGGTGACATGTTATACATAGTATATATATGTATAGTGTAACAAGAATTTATATTATATTGAAATAAATATACATGTACATGTCATGGTAAACATTCCAACAAAGATCGAGATAATTATCCAAAATTGTAACTAGACTAGTAATCGGGAAAGTTATTCAGTATATGTTATTACTTGCATCAATGCAAGTCAGATCTCATACTTCTGTGAGGTCCGACTGAATACTGTATGTTCCATAGTATTATATAACAGGTCACTTATTCATTGACAATAAAAATCAATTCAGCCAAGGATGTGAGGTACTGTGAGTGAAATGGTGTCTTGTATTGTGTATTGTATGTTGTATTTATATATCTATTTTTGAAAAGAGTAAATAAAAATGATAGAGAGAAAGAAAAATGAATTATTCAAAATAATATTTACATTGAACAGTATATCATACCATGTTTTTGACTTTGTCGTTGGTTAGGTGATGATTTAACGATAAGTCTGAAAAAGTTTCTTGAAGAAGAGGTAAATTAAACGATAAGACGGGATCCAAATGCAAACTGATAACCTTTCTATATCGCCTTCATATTTTGTTCCAAAACGGAGGTTGTGTGTTTCGGATGTATACTTGCTACTCAATGCTTCAAAAGAACATCCTTCCCGCTTTTCTGATTTATTTTTTCACACTTCAACGAAAATTTAAGTAATGAATAACGAATGAGTTTTTAAAAAGGATTTTCAGATTTTTCTAATTTTACAACCAACATGTGATGTTAAAGTAATGATTGTGTAAAGATAATTTAATTTACTGGATGAATGTCGTCACTAATTATGCTAAAAAATGGCTTAATATATTAAAAAAAAAAAGAAAATCGACCATAGATTCTGACGACCCATTGCTGAAGTCTAATCCCAATTTTTTCACACTTGAAATTAAAAGCTATTTTTATAATTAAAACACAATTGATATATTGAAATACTCTTGATGAATTTAGTCTGAGCTAGAAATAATTTTAAAAGACCAAAATATGCGTTGTGACGGTAAGAAAATGTTTCTTTGGCGTACTTTAACCAAACAGTCGAAGTGACTGTAATAAAATATTGTTGTAAAATAGATCCTTTCTACAGAAATAACAGAGACAATATCAACATCTTAGTTAAATCTTAATAAAACTCAAAATCAATGAAACATGAAAAATATAAACAAAACAAAAAATGTCAGGTGTTCTGGTACGGTAAGTGTGCTCTGCTTCATGCTAATGCAATATCTCAAATATTGTCAGGATTTGGAATCGAATTTTCGTGTAAGTCAGCTCTCCCTCAAGGGTCATGTCCTGGGCAAAAACCCAGAGATATTCCAAAAGAAAGGAGAAGCAAAATGAAAAATAAAACCTCCAAAATCAAGATGAAAAGGAACATGTTTTGTAATGTTAAAAACAATAGATTTACGGGTGAGTACCGGGAACAATAATTTTTTTTAATGCTTATCGCTATTTGTTTCCATGGTAATCTTCTCTTTTTTTGAACAGAAGCTGACTGGAAAAAATAAGGTTACAGTTTGATATTGGTAAAATTTTTTTGCAATGGTAAGTAATATGGTTTTCGAAGTGTGGCGCGGAAATGGTAAAGAAATTGAGATTTTGTATTTTTAATGTTATTAAAATGAACGTCAGTTATATCACATTGTAAAAGAATACACAGCAACACCATTACTGCACAGAAAATACATAATGAATAGAATAAGGGAATAATGAGTGGACGGATGGACAAACGGAGACTTAAATCCTATGAGGGATTAAATTACCATAGTTAAGAGGAAACACAAATGACTCACCTTGACTGGAATGCAGACGACAATCAGGAGAAGATCCGCCGTGGCCAAACTTAGCAGAAAAATATTAGTGACATTCTGCATTTTCTTAAATCGTGCAACTGACACGATGACAAGAGTATTTCCAACAAGTCCAAACAATAAGGTTATCCCGTACACCATGGAAACAGGCAAAAGTTCCTTCAAGGGCAGATAACTCATCGATGAGTTATAGTCATAGTCATAAACGTCTGTGTCATTAAAAGTTGTATTTCCAAGAACCATAGGCACAAATGACGTATTCTCGTGGAAAAGCGTATATGACACACTGGAAGTCATTTTTATTTAAAATATATCTTAAGTTGTTTCAAATGAAATTGAACAACTCAAAGTTCAATTGATGAAATAGTAATAATACTTTTAGTCACTAAGTTTCGTGTTTTATATGTGATGGTAATGCTTTTGAAACCGGTGATAACACTCTTAGTTGTTCATACATTATACCTGGTATTGCTCAGCTGTCGTGACTTTCTGCGAATATTTTACAGAACAATAGAGAGTGCTGATCCACAGCTGTCTTAGCGAGCTTGCCTCAGATACCACCAATATCGTACAGAATCGGCTATTCATTCACCTCACATCGCCAACTGCGCGCGAGTCAATACCCTAGCGCTTTTGAAATCTGTGAATGATATCTGGCAGACGACACAGGCTTGAAACCATACAGGGACACTTGTACGATCAACTCTTTGATATTGATGTAGGCGCCTCTGCTTCAGTACATTGGTTGTTCACTATTGCGTATGAAATCTTGATTTACAATAATTATTTGAATTTTTGTAACAAAATGCTTTAGTAGTGAGACATGAAAGGCAACTATTCAAATAAAAATTACGGATTTTAGACAAAATATTTGATTATGTACACATGATGTAAATAATGTTTGGAAAGCTGTAAGTTATGTGTTATTCTGAATTATGTCTGTAGCTTCAGGAATTGCTTCTTTATACTGGTCTTTGCTTTAATACCTGGTTATATGGGGGACTTTTACTGAAACAAAAATATCATAAGAAAGGCAAAATACAAAGCGTAGCGACGTCTTTAATCCAATAAAAGAACATTTGAAATAAAAAAAGGCATTTAACTGTTCTCGTCTGTTGTGCACACTTGTAACAGACACATCCAATTAAAAATGTCATCAGATGTGTATTTTACTAATTTTACCGGTCTGAGATGAAGGGCGTAGTGGCCGTGTGGTTAAGGCGTCTCACCGTCTTTACCACTAGCCCTTCGCCTTTGAGTAGCGGGTTCGACCCTACGTGGGGCAGTCGCACGATACTGGTCGCAGGTGGGTATTATTTCTTGTTCAAGGGATATTACGGAACTTTTAGAATATGATAATTTAGAGGTCCATCAATTAAAAATTGATCATGAGAAAGCCTTTGACAAGGTAAGTCATATTTGTCATGAGAAGGTTTACAGAATTCTTTTTTAATTTGATTAAAATGTTTTACAATGGCATTCATAGCATTGATAAATGTGATGGATGTTTAACTCAATATTTTCCTGTTTTGAATTCAGTAAGGCAGGGATGTCCCATCTCCTCGATGCTGTATGTTTTATTAAAAACTTCATTTCAGTGTTGTATATAAATATACGTTAAACAATACAAGAACAATCATTAGTATCGGATTAGGAAACTTATATTAATCTGTCTCCGTTTCTAAACGAAAGTTATAAATCTGAGATATTTGTTATTTATGTGTATATGAATGAAATGGAATAGAAATAAATTTAGAGAACTACATTCCTTCCAACCAAGGTGAATCTGACCCAGTCCACTACCACTATAGAAATAGGGTGCAACTATGTGGCCTGGTACACTTGGGTGCAACTTTGTGGCCTGGTACATTTAGGTGGAATTTTGTGGCCTGGTACACTTAAGTGGAACTTTGTGGCCTGGTACACTTAGGTGATGTCTCAGTTTAGTAACTGACTGTTCCTTTTTTATTCTACCCAGAGTTCCAGAGCTTGATAACGGACGGCAGAAACGATTTCATGAAAAGGCTTGTGCGAAAGTAAAGGGTACGAAAGTTCCTACTAACACGAGTATTGTGATCATGGATACTATTTTTGCGATGAGGAAGAATTTCTCGGAGGTACTGTGGGATAAGACCATGAACCATTTTATGAAATTAAATAACTTTGTGATGTTTGCGTCTCTGTTCTAAGGGTAGCCACCCTGTCTCAATGTAAAGTTTTACTCTACTAGACGGTTTAGTTCCACCAGTTATAACACACGCTGCCTCTAATTGGAGATCATCTTACATTTCAGGTTGAGTTTTAGTAATATTACACCAGATAGTATCACCATATGTTCGAAAATAGGCCGGATAATTGTAAAATATACAGTTTAAAGGAAAGTGTGATCAAAAGTGAATTAAAATTTGCGAATGATGTTCAATTTAGGTGAAATTTTGTTAATTGTTAATTAATTGATAAAAACAGACCAAGATATTTGTGTTAACTAAATTCAGTGAGCAAAATATTGTTCATAGATGGAGGAGGATGAACTGGAGTGATGCTTTTCATGGATATCAATATGGCTTCGGTTTTATTAGGATTAAAATTGACCATTTTACAGGTAAGTCATGTTCATCTCGAGAATGCACTTCAGAATTTTGGGTTTGGAGAATTCTTTCTTAATTGGATTGATTTTTTACAATGGTATACATAACAGTGTTAAATGTAATGGATTTCTAACTCTATTTTCCTACTTTGTCCCATCTCCGCGATACTGTATGTTTTAACAGCAGAATCTCTAGGTCACACAATTCTGAAGAATGATAATATTCGTGGGATTCAATTCCTTATGTCGGTTAGGGAAACCGAAGTATTTCAGCTTGCTACGACACAACATTCACGTTATCAAGTCAACAATATATAAAGGAAGATTTCACTGTATTGAAAAAATACGGCCAATCATCAGGAGCCAAGTTAATACAGAGAAGTCCGAGGTAATGTGTGTTGTTACTAGTATAGTGACTGAAACAGAGTCTCTTGAATTTTCAATTAAAATTTTAAAAGGTGCAATACTTGTACTGGGTGTATATTTAGGTTCGGATGTAAACTTATGTGAGTCTCTTATATGGGACGGTAAAATTAATTATATTCGCAAGATCTTGACAATTCGGTCTTAAAGATATTTATCGATCCAAGGGCATGTTACAGTTATATCGGCATGTCTTGCCGGTTACATTGATATCTGAAAAATACCAGGCTCACATTAAAAATCTGTGTTTCTTTGAAACAATGGTAAACAACCTTCGAGGTATAAAACAATAATTAGTTTGCTGGCAATAACTTGAACTTTCAGAATTAAGTTTGTTTTCAGATTGATGAGTAATGATAATATATCATGGAAAGACACTGGAATGTTTTCTTCATTGAGAATATGAAGCTTGGATTGCCCTGTTTATATTATTGCAATTTCAAAAGGTCGCATTTAAATTGTACTCCTGTTTATACCGAGAAATGCTGTTAGCTTGGTCAGATATTTTTAAGTTTTTAAATTTGAGGAAGCTAGTGATGACATTTATTATCAACCTCTATTTTTTAATATTCCCTTTCAAAGCGGAGAAAAAGTACTGAATAACTATGTGTTTATTCAAGCAGGTCTTGTATATGTGAAAAATTATACTTACGAAGTACTTCCAAGTTTGCTTCTAATAAATCCTTTTTCGAAATAATCCATGGATTTAATCCGGACATTCCAAGAAAAAAAATTATTTCACAGTACAGCCATGTAATTAAATGTTTCCCAGAGAAAATACTCAAAAAGATGCTAAATCATAGCTATGAAAAACATACTGTAGATCCTATTGTAACACTACTGAGATCAGACGGCACGCGCATATCTCCACGTTCCACGCGTGATATATACTCTGTACTGGTAAGTTAGGCATTGGTCACGCCGGTAGTGGTTGAGTTTTGGAGTAAGAAGTTTCCAGGTGAACAGGTAGATCGGGAATTTGGAATAATCCATGCCCCGGATCACCCTGTAGATAGATCGGGAATTTGGAATAATCCATGACCCGGATCACCCTGTAGATGTCACAGCAATACATTTTAAAGTTGGTCATAATTCAGTTTTTACATATGGAATGTCCGATTTGGATAATTGCCCGGTTTGTAGAAATGCACCAAATTTATATTCTTAGTTTCTCCAGAATTGCAGGATTTTTTATCTTTTTTAAAATGTTTGCTTGACCAATTAATAGCTCAAGCAAGTGTTATGGATGTTAATATAAGTTTGATCGTCCCGTTCTATTGAGATTTTACGAAAAATGGAAGAATGTTAAAAGTTAGTTTATGAACTTCACTCTGGGTGTTGTTAGATACTGCGTTTTTAACAGACGAAATTTTGTAATGTATATTGAAAGAAATGTTGACGTTTTAAACTTCTATACATTTACTTTTAAGCGATTTGTAAAATACATATTTACAAATTTCATTGCCAAGAATAAGAAGGCAATATTTGTCAAGTATTTTGTTGCTGATGATAACTTGGTTGTGATAAAAGAACGATATTGAAGTCGTTTTCTTAAATAACCTTTCAATATTCTGGCTTGTCTAGTGTACACCATTAGAGGCCGAACATAGACTCCAACCCCCGGGGCCCTTTGAATGGGACAATAAATGCTTGAATATGATTTTCAAGAGGGAAAAAAATTGCAAGGTACTGGCCGCAGGTGGGTGTTTTTTCTTCGGCTTTCCACCACCATCAAAACTTGGTACGTCCTGAAAGTCCAAATATACGCAATTTTCACTAAAAAAGAGAAGATATGATATATGTTTATATCGATATAGTTAAAACTACCTTATCCCAGAAATACTGAGGACGAAAGTGTGCCTTCGTATTGATCTAAGGCTGTTTTGTAAACATGCTTCAAATTTACGATCTGTGCTGGGACGAAGTCGGAAAATATTTAAGACATATCCGTGAGGTCGGTATTTAAATAAACGTGTATAACCCCATTCAGACTTAATAGTGAGGCTTTGAATTACTATACGACTGCATTCTACCTGTGAATGACGTCGCAAAGAGCGTGCAGCACGTGTGATATCGCACTTTACCTGTGAACGCGCCTACTACACCTGTACATTTTTTTAATGCGCAGATTAGTCAATATGATTTAATATGATTTATATGATGCATAATGAATGCAGGCATTATGCCTCTATGTTCATATCAATGAATAACATAATGATATAAATATATGTACATAACTTCAGATGCAATTTCAAAGTGGATCAAGTTAGCAGCTTATTGTAATATTTTCCGTAATAAACTATTTACGTTTGCCTTTATAACGGAGGGAAAAGAGATTTAGTCTGTCACGCGATACATATAAATTTTCAAGTGTTCATCAAGTTTGATTTCAAACTGTCTCACCGAGGTAGCATCTACCACAGACTGGGGTAAGCTATTCCAAAGCTCGACTACCCTTTGGATAAAAAAGTTTCTCCTGACTTCCAATCGGCACCGTTTCTAAAAAATGTTATGGTAATGACCCCTTGCTCTGCCCGTGTTATCCATTTGGAAAAGGTTTCCTGTTACTCTCTCATCGAAAAAAATGTTCATAATCATAAAGATATTGATCATATCCCCACGTAGCCTTCAGTATTTTAGCGTTGGAAGACGCAGAATTGTTACCCACTGAACTTTCTTAAGCAATATCGCTTATCATTTCCTCTTTATTGGTGATAATAATGTCTTGGATGCTAGGTTTATTCCCCTTCCTGTCCCTTGTATAGTTCTTTACATGCTGATATAGATAATTATCTCTGAGACACTTAATAAAACCTTCGCTGTCTTTATCATCTCTGGTTGACCAAGAATCCCAGCATATCTTTGGCAAATTGAAATCTCCGAAAATTAATAGATGACTGTATTCATGTTGAGTTACAACTAAACTGAGTAACATGTGTAGTTCCTGACTGTTTTCGTCAGTTGAATTCGGACTTCTATAAATGCATTCAACTAGAAGACGCGCGTTTCCAGCCATTTTAACTTTTTTCCATACACTTTCCTTAAATGATTCGCCAGTATTCACCTTCACTCCACCGAGTCCTTCTCAGGACAAATATTCAAACTCCTCTGGACATTTTCGGCATTATTATTAATAAAGAGATCGTAACATGGTACTGATAATTCGGCCTTGCTCGGTACATATCTGCAATTTGTTTAGGAAAAACTTCAGTGATTCCAATAATGTCTACATTTTTGTTCCTCTCATGTATTATTCTACAATGTAACTCATCTAATTTGTTAGGTAAGCTATCAATATTTGTATAAAACATTTTCCATTGTATATTCATACGCATAATACACACGTGTATTATTGGTGACAGCCAAATCTATTGGACGAGGCATTGACATTTGACTCAACAATGATCTGTGACCCCGAACTACTTTCGCCACATGCGATTGTTTTCATCGTCTGCTGTCCATCATCAACATGGCTGACAGTGACGATCTGTCATTCTTGCCGGCGGAAAAGATCGGTGATGCGGCAAAACTGTGTGGAGGGGGAAAGGGGATAGTAATTGGTAAATGCAGTAATTTTGGTTTCCCAGCCTTTGATATTGTGATGTACAGTTCTGATGAAAGTGATCAGAAGTTCTCGAAATTACACGCCAGCTTAATCGTGTCTGCATTCACATTTTCCCGCGAAGAAGCACTACTCTTATCCGCAATAAAATCTAATTCCAAATTATTTTTTTTAAAAGATAAACAATTCGTGTAATTTTGTAACGTGTTCCAATGAACTAATGTTAAGGGATATTTCCAAACAATATTACTGAATAAATAAGTCTCCTGCATCAAAAATAGCGATTTTGTCTCTTTTTGCATATTAATGAGCCAATCAGACAACCTACGATGTATTCTTACGCAAAGGTGCCAATGGGAGCGAAACAATGTTGTACACAATATATATATTTTTTACGTTGAAATGTTATGGTAGAAAGAAGTTCTACAACTCGTGACAGTTGATTATCATCGTTATCAAAGTCTCGTTAGTTAATTTTCAAATTTAGAAAAGACACGAGGCTCTAAATTTGAAAATTAACTAACTCGAGTTAGATAACGATGATAATCAACTATCACTCGTTTAAGTAATCATTAGAGTTCAAAATTTTCTTTTTGTCTTCTGCCTTTGCTGTTTCACTATTTATCAAATTCCAGGGAGGGCCTCTGACTCGGAAAATAAATTCCCCCGATTCCTTGCTTTTCCTCTTTGCTTCATCTCTAAGCGCTGCTTCTTTCTCTCCCCCGGCCTTGGTCGAGTCATTTTAATCTGAATTGACTCATAACAATCATAATTCTTTGATGTTCTTGAAGAGAAGTCCTTTATCTTCTGATGTTCCAAAAGACATTAAAATTGGTCTTCTTTTTCCTTATCAAATTTACCAAGGCGAAATATTTTGGTAACACATTTTCGAGCTTCTGAAGGAAGACTACTGGCTCTGAGCATCTCTTCAATTTCTTTTTCGTCCTTCCCCTTTCTTTCCTTTCCATCTGAGCTGGTTTGTTCTTTGACTCCAAAGACTAAAATGTTCTTTTCTCTTCGCCTTCTGTCATCCATCTCTGACAAAACTTCTTGAGCACCTGTGGATTTAATTTGTTGTAAACCTGATTGCCTATTCTCAAACCTCATGACGTCATGACATTCATCGCTTGGGAAACCCTCCTGAACTACTACAACAGAAATATCACCAAAGTTCACAACCTAATATATCTGTACAAACATATCTTAATGAATGTAATTTCAAATGAATATGGACCGATACCGTGATAATATCAGAAAGCTTTCAGAGATCAAAGGCAGTTATCGTGGAAAATGGACCGGATCACTTTCTAATGTAATGATTGGACTCGCAAAGAAAAAAAACCCATGATCCCGGAATATCGCTTTTGACACAAACACAATCGGATTGCAACAATAGCAACTTTGTGGAATTTTTATTGATTACAATTGACGAATTGTGATGACATATTCCCGTGTACAGTTTTAATGTTTAAATCTTGTTGAATCTCCCAAATGCACCAGTTTCTTAATATAAAACGACATTATCACACCAAGTTATTAAACTGTAAATAATTGTTAGTTTAACTTGATTTGCTACTATGGAAACATCCTGCTCGGCGCGTTCACTCTATTGTGCAAACATTGTTATTGATTGATTGTATAGGAAACCAACATGAATATGTTGTGGGTAGTTTATTTTCGCTTTGATTCTAGGTCGATTGTAACGCGCCATTATTAAGTCATATGAGGGGAGGGATGGCCATTCAAAAAAACTTTCTTCGTGTAAAGGTTTTTTTTTGGATGGTTGAAATATATATTGTGAACGAGACAACCAAAATGATAATTGAATAATGTTCAGAAATGTGAGAAAGCGTCAAGATTTTGCAAGAGGAATGTACAGAAGGAAGATGTAAAAATCATTTCTATCATAATTAAAACATTAGAAAAAAAGCTATCGAGCCATAAAGAAATGGAAGGATTGAAAAGACGAAATCCGAACTGATAAATATCTAGCAACATGGATCTGGTATGTAAATAACAGATGGCGCGTTACTACAACAGCCGTACGGTGACCTTTTTCAATGTAAAATGATCTATGATACACTGAATGACATCTGTAATGTACAAGAATTGTATCATCGTATGACTTAGCACCGCAGCTTACAAAGGAAACACACGTAAAACCCTATTGCAACAAAACAAGATAGTAAATGAAAATAATTGTTTCTACAACGCAAAGTATGTAACACATATAATACCAAGTATTGAGTCTTTAAAACGGCATTTTCATTCTACCACGGTAGGTGGGCGTTATTCAACTCATTAGGTATTGATTGGTCATTACAACTATCGTATACAGGATATGAAAACCATAAAGTGGTGACAAGGCTACCTGAAGTGTTGAAAAGGATACCCGGAGTGTTGGTGAAGGTGTATACAAGAGGTTAATCTGTACCTCACTAGTGAACTTCGATGGTGTGGAAAAAAGTGACAGATTGATGACTTCTGGTGAAATTTTGAGAGCCATTTATTTTTATTTATTAATTTTTGCTTTTTTTTTTTTCTTCAAATCTTTAACTAAAACCTACTGCATTTTAGACCTTTGCGAATGTGTTTTAGCGAATTGAAACATAACGAATAATATGAAGACATGTAAGTGATATGGAAGCCACACGAGGTACAGCCTTATTGCAAGATGATCAGAGAAATGTGACCGTACACTTTAATGTTTCTCAGAGTGTGTTTGGTTGTCTATGGCATAGCTATTGACAAACAAATACTGTCCACCAATGACCCAGATCTAGACGCCTCGCTCTACGATAGTTCGGCGGTATCGATTCATCTGCAATTTGGCACGACATTAGTGGTATGTGAATGCTATTTCTTTAAATAATGAAATTCAACAGGTCACAAATCTCAGGAGTTCATGGCTTATTGGCTCGAAGTTTTGCGTGAGGCCGAATTTTAATAAGTACCATCGACAAGCTGGACTGCAATGAGCTGCTCAAAATTTAAACTGGAAGTTGCGTCTTTGGTGATCTGTCCTCTTCATTGGCGAGTCAGACTTTGCGTTGACGTTCATTACTAAAAGAGGAGGGTATGGAAGTTAAAGAAGGGTGGACGTTTTACTGACTGCTGTATTACTTAACATGACCGCTTTGGCATTAGATCAGAAATGGTTTGAGCAAGTACCAGTATTGTCTTCCATTCAGATTTCTGCGTCATCGACATTTGGATCGTTAACTGCTGTTCGCTAGGGATGAGAATCTACACTATACCGTTAGGCCTTGTCCGGAAGTTGTCTAATGCTAATCTTACCGTGCTCGTGTGGTGACCGACCATTGTTGATATGAAGTGGTCCAGTTTTTTCTCCTGACTGAACAGGCTTGGGACACCTCGAAGGACCAGGTTTAGGATTGCACTAACCCTCCACAAAACGTTCAAGAACTTATGACGGCACTGCAGGAGGAATGACAACGTATCCAAAAGATTAGCTACCATCGATGACTAATAAAGAGCATGCGCAGACGTTGCAGAGCAGCAATCAGGATCAACGTAGGTTAATCTCTACCATCCTTTTGATTCAGGTTATCCATCATCGGGAACACATTGATTTGCAAGTTATTGTTACTAATTGTTATTTTATTCTTGTAGCAGGTGCAAACCTTTAAACCTGAATGTGTAATCATAAACTTTAAAGATTTACTACTTTTTATGTAAGTAACAAATACATTGTTGTTTAAATTCTATGATCCTTTACTTTTTTGTCCAGTGTAAAAAGAAACATTTATACCACGATTGGAATAAACTGAAAAAAAGTTTTATGCCATCAACTGTGTTCATGTCTAACAGAGAAACCAATGTCGATAATGCAGTTTTATTCATTATTTGACTATTATCTATGTAATTCAGATGTATTGAAACGTGCTTTGAAAGGTGTTATTCACTAAGGTGAACTCTTAGCTTATTAAGAAATTGATTTAAGTGTTGTTTGGAGACTGATTATTCGATCTTGGGTAAAAGCTTTGAGCTGTAGCACGATTATGGGGACTGTTTGATGAATGTTAAACCCGAGTTGTTTCTTATGTAGGCATTTTCTTTCAATATGGAAGATGGTACTAGCTTGACAAACTGACTCCTAACGTGAGAGCTCATTATGTCTGCGACTGTGTGTGAGAATGTAAAGCGATGTGTGGATAATAGAGAGAAAGTACAGTGTATATTAGTATGTTACAGTACGAGTCGAAGAGTACTCGACTGATCAATTAAGATTTTGTTTCATGATGTATATGAGATATTCCAAAGTAGAAACGAACAAGGCATGTGTTATGTCTCAGACATTTCAAAGATCAAAAGGATTTCATATCTCACATGGGTACTTTACTGCATTATCATGTATACTGATTAGAAGAGAAAAAAACAGATCAGAGATCAACGGTGGCAGCCAATGTTTCCAGATAGATTACATACAGAGAACGATATAGATTATACCTCATTGAGATTGGCAAATAGCTTCAGACAATTCTTTGGTTAAATTCACCAGAATAATCAATTAAAATTTACGTGCTTGTTTGAAATGGAAGCAAATTCTTCTTGATCACATTAAGACTTTTATTTGGTAGGCGTAGGGTCTGACTCGTGTATAATATTGTGTTGTTATTAAATTGCGGTTGGATTTTTACTATAACTATTCCTTTAATAATATACATAGCTTCTCAATTTCGATGATATACTTTAAACTTTTATTTATTTAATCAAATCGGTAAAGCGCTCAGATGGAAACACAGAGTAAAATTTTACCGAATTATAATATATTTCTCTTTTATTTATGTAATTTTTATTTGTGTTTAAACAAGAAGCCTAGCAGCCTTGACTGGCGCCTGAGATAAGCAATATTGATTATAAAGATTAAAGGATAAGTAGCTTTTAAGTGTCATTTTAAAGAAATTGTGACATTGATGATAGTAAGCCAGTGTCTCTAGATGCATACCATCAAAGAACTGCCGTCCTATAGTAATTTGCAATGGGAAATAAACAACATTATGCCCAAAATTTCAGTTATTCTATAAAGATAATAGTAAGATTAACCTCATCATCTGAAGAAATGTGACACCCATTTTGGTAAGGCACCTTCAGACGCTTACATCTATGAAGATTATTTCATTCTTTCTCTTTTCCCCATCAGCCGCAGGGGTCAGTCAGTATCAATATATGCATATCATCTAGCCGTCATCCACTGCTCATAATTCTAAACAAATTGAGAGCTTTCCAATGGACATTTAACAAACTATAGTCAAAAATCTATTTTTCCTACATAAACTATAGTAAACTTTATCTCCTCCCTACGGTGTAATGTGAGACCCTAGGCCACGATTTTTTTTATAAAGCACCTTAGGATGCTTCCATTCATGAACAACATTTAATCTACCATACCTAGGTGTTGAGAAAAAGATTTTTGGAATCTGAGTCAATTTGACCCCTATTGACACCGCCTCTTAGGCCCTTGTGAGGTGGGGATTGTACAATTACTATTTAGCTCATCTAAGGCCAGGGAAGGTTTCTGCAAAATTTCATTGAAAGCAGTTCAGAGGTATTTGAAAAGAAGTTGAATTTGATAAGAAGTTGAAAATGTTAAAATCGACGCATGACGTACAAAGTTTTTTTTCGGCACAGAGAAGGTGAAACCATGACATATTATTTAGACATGAAGACAAGGCTTTTTCGCTGACGCCAATAGAGGAATAAAACGCAGATAACACTATGTATCATCGAAGGGTGTTGTCATTTCGTAGAAACAGATCGCATGACAGAAAGCGTTACTCATTTTAAGAGGCAGTTCACAAGTCTAGAGTATCGTTGGACGGAGAAGATACAAGACATAGCTAATTGATGGGTTTTCTTGGTGACCACAACGGTAAGACAGTTAAATGATGATTATCATCATAATTTACAAATAACTCAGCTAACATTTTAAAGAAATTTTCTACATATTGCGAAACTCTGTTGAAGTAATTGACGATTGGCGATCTGCTTGGTAGGCAAGGTAGGCTAGAGAATAGCATAGCAACACAATTAATCAAAACCAAATTCCAAACGTAATCTTTTTTAGACCCAGAATGGACTTGCATATCACATGCTAAATGCTGATTTTACATTATTGAATTACAGT